GCATGGACAGCAGCTACGAGCCCAAGACCCCAGCCTCCTCCAGCCTCTGACGTCAGAAGTGGAGGAAGTTGGTCCTCTCTGCAAACGCAACGCAGGATGTTATTCCTAAAGTGAATTCCTTTCACCTGTGGCCAGGCTGCTGGCCTGTGAGTCCCTGTGCACCATCCCAGTCACTTGTGCCATCAACAGACACAGTTTTAACTCAGCCCGCCAGACCCCGTGGAGGGACAGAGGCGCAGGCGACTAAGAGCAGTTTCCAGTGACAGGCATGCCAAGGGCACACTTCCTTCTATTCCTTCCTTCTGTTCTTGCTTCAGACAAAAGTCTTTCCTTCAAGCCAAGTGCACACATTCCTCAAGACAATTCTAACATTTAGTAGACAGCCCATGCTTATCTAACACAACCACAGGAGGCTGACAGACCTCGAAGCCAAGGCCAAGGGGAGGACACAGTTACAGGTGGTGCCACACCCACAGACGTTTGGTCTAAAGATCACTGCCGGGTGTGGTGGTTCATGCCTGTCATCCCAACATTTTGGGAGGCCAAGGTGAGAGGATGGCTTAAGCCCAGAAGTTGGAAGCTGCAGTGAGCCATGATCATGCCACTGCACCTAGCTAGGGCAACAGAGTGAGACCTCTACTAAAAAATAATTAACTACTTTAAAAAATAAAGATGACATGGAACTGTGTGTGTGTATACATGTGAATACATATGTTCTGTCCACTGGCCACCACCAGGCTAATGGCAGGTGTCACCCTCAAGAAAAGAAGGATGACTGGACGTGGGGGCAGGCTAAGATTCTATCTCATCAGAAAAGTGTTATTTCTTAAAAAAATAAGAGAAAAAATTCTTAAGCAAATGGGGAAAAGTCATGTTCATATTTATTCTGAACAAGTATGTACGTGCTCGTTATACCATTTGTGCTGTTTTATTTTTAATTTTTCAAGATAATAAAGGAAAAAGGAAGGTGCTACTGCAGGTGAGGCCCTGGGCTGCGTTTACTCTGCTGCTTCACTGAGCTACGGGATTTTTGCCAGTCTGTCCCAGTCTGGTGATCACATGTGAGAGGGCCAAAAGTCAGAGCCCAGAGGCTAGGGCCCCGTAAAGCAAAACTTCCTAAATCTCCATCTCACGGTCACTGGTCACCATGTCACTGCTAGCCACTGCAGCCTCTCCCTCCCCACTCGACAGCTCCAGGACCTGCCTTCCTGTGTACCTACCACATGTGATAGGGGCTGGTAACCTGACATCCCGGGACCTGAGCCCACTCTGCCTTAGGGGACCTGGCCGGGGGTGACTCTCCCAGAAACCCCTAGAAAGTCCTGAGCCATGGCTCCTGCAGGAGTGCAGGAGGCTTGTTAAACACAGGATTAGACTACTGGCCTGGCAATCTGCATTTTGAGTACGTTCCCTATGACACTGGCCCTGCTGATCCAGGCCTAGAGCACAGACCTGCCGCTTGCCCACTGACATTCAATCCTGTTGGAGGAAAAGACCCAAGCAGCTGGGGAGCTTCTGAAATACAGATTCCAGGGCCCCTACCCAGAAGAGCCCAGCGCAGCTGGCCAGGAAGAGGATAGAGAATCTGCCTAGGACCCTGGGGACAAGCGGGACCCCAGCCACAATGGCATCCCCCTACCCTTTGACTTACACTCCCAAAAGTGGCCAAGACCTCTTTGACTCCACAGGCTTCCCAAGGCAAGCCCAAGCGTCCCAGAGGAGCAAGGACACACTCCCGAGAGGCACCCTCATCCTTCCCAAGCGTCACCACCTGAAGAAGGGAATGGTCTGGGAACAGAGCAACCGCCCGGCAAACAAGACCCAGTGCTGTGCAACCTTGACATGTCTACTGAAAAGTCACAAGCAAGAGGGGCTCATGCAGGGGCTCGTGCTGCTCACCTCCTGACCAACCCAGGCAGAGCAAGGAATGATGTGAGTCCCACTACAGGCCAAGCCTTCAAGGCCCTCATGGCTACTCTCTAAAAGAGAGCCTGAGGCCAGGCGCAGTGGCTCACACCTGTCATCCCAGCACTTTGGGAGGCCCAGGCGGGAGGATTACTTGAACCGAGGAACTTGAGACTATCCTGGGCAACACACTAAGACGTTGTCTCTACAGAATATAAAAATTAGCTGGGTGTGGGGGCATACCTATAGTCCTAGCTACCTGGGAAGCTGAGACCAGGAGGTTGAGGCTGTGGTGAGTCATGACTCCAGCCTGGGCGACAGAGTAAGACCCCAACTCAAAAGACAAAACAAAACAAAATGGAGGCCAATGGTGATTCTTTGAGGAATGTTCTTGAACACTGCTTTAAGATAATAACCAAATGTGTCTGTGCTATAATGTGGGGGAGGCAGGATGTGAATTGTGTACATAGTGCAGCCACAATAACAAGAGAACAAGAGACATCACTCAGTCAGAGGGGAATGGGAGGCCCAATGGTGACCATCCAGGTGGCTCGTGTGCTGCCTGCCCTCGTCACATGCTTGTTTCTGAGCTGTTTACCTGGAGCGTGCACCATTTTGCCTGCCTGCCACACTCACCCTACTCTCCGGCCCACTGGAGGGAGGCACAAGCAAGACGTCCCAGGGAGCCTGTAGCCCCTGCCACGGGGTCCTGCCCACTTCCTCCTGGCGGGTAGGGCTGTGAGGCAGGGACCTTCCGGGCCAGCAGTAAGTGCCATCAGGGAAGGTTGACTGACTGCTCTGAGCCAGGGGCAGGCTATAGCCTGGCCTCCAGAGCTCACAGTGCAGGAGGAGGCCCGGAGGCGGGTCCTGTTTCCAAGGTTGCAGCCCCATCTGCTCTGAGTCAGGCAGAGGCTGCAGCCCCGGCCTCCAAGTTCATGGTGCAGGAGAAGGAGGCCAGGAGGCGGGTCCTGTTTCCAAGGTTGCAGCCCCATCCTCCAAGGATGGGGGGCAGGTCCTGTTTCCGCTTATGAGTCCTCTGGGCTGAGGGTGGGCTAGCCATCTCTTGCTTCATGCAACCACCTCCCATCTTCTGGGACTCTGCACGGGCCAAGAGCAGCAAACGGCCTCTTACACCAACAGCCTCCAGTGGGCACTGAGCTCAGCCTAGGCCTGAACTTCAGAGCTGGTGCCCCCAGTGGCAGAGCCCTCCTGAGCCAAAGGCAGCATTCATGGTCCAACAGCCTGCAGCGGGAGCCTGACTGCTGTGTGTTGCTCACGGGACACTGCAGAAACACGGCCCTGTCTGAGACTCCCATGGCGAGGTTTCCACCTCCCAACCACAGCGGGCAGGAGACACACCTGTCCAGGAGAAGGCCACGAGCTCAGCCCAGCTCAAGCATGGTCCTTCCCATGACTATCCACACTGGAAACTGAGTTGCTCATCAAAATGCCACTCAGGTGTCACCTCCAAAAAGTCTTCCCCAACTGCCCCCATGTGGACTGTATTGGGAATCTTGTCTCTTGACTCTTGAGCCTTTAGTACGTGCTTCTCCTTAGGACGGTCCTGAAAGCCCCTTCCTGTCACAAACAGCGCCTGCAGACAGGGCCCCGCCACTAAGCACCTCACTGTGGACACCCAGGTCCCCAGCAGCACCATCCCCTCTGCCTGGCATCCCCTGCCCGACTGTCACAAGGGAGGCAATAGCGGAGGTGCCTGCCCTGGGCATGGCCCCTTACACCAGGAAACAAAACCACCTGGGTCCCCAGAATCACCTCCCATGGGCTCTCAAGCCATCCCCCTGGCTCCTCTCACCCCAGACCCCTTGAAATGTCGGGCTGGGTCTACACTTCCTGGAGGTCACGGCCAGAGTCCATGGGGCCACGCTTCCACAGACTGTGGGCCGAGCATGGGTGGCCACTGCAGTCCACACAGACAGACCATGCCAGCACCCACACCCAGGAGGGGAACCTGCCACCCAGGAAGCCCAGGCCACCCCTGTCGTACCACCCCACGTTGGCGCAGAAGCTCCTCCAGCACTCCCCACCCTGACAGGATGCAGTTGGGCACATGCACAATGCCACAGCACACACTCTGCCGGGAAGCCTGTCCCAAAGCCCTCAGGGACCCTGGATGCTGCAGCCTCTGCTCAAGGGCAGCCAGGGACTTTCCCACCCCGCAAGCCTTCCCGACGCCTGAGGATGTCCCCGGAGCCCAGAGGCAAGACTAAGCCACAGGCCCGGAGGCCATGTGCAAGGACCAGCCTGTGGCAGGGCTGTGCTCAGGTTCAGGGGACTGGCAGTATCAGGGAGGCAGCATCAAGCAGTCATTCTCAAGTCACGATCCCAGGTCATGGGAGCCCAAAAGGATGCCCTGGAGGGAGCTGAGGCCCCGAGCAGGGCATGCCCAGGTCCCCAGGCCATGTCAACTGAGTGACGTGGCCCGCAGGACCTCCCGGATAAGCACAAGGGAGGACAACGCTCGCCATGGAGGACAGGCTCATGCCCAGGCCAAGGTGTAGTCTCAGCCCACTCCAGCAGGACTGGTCTTCCAGATCATGAGCTGTCAGAGCTCTCAGCCTGCTTCCCCACGTCATGTGGGCCTCCACAGCAGCATCTGTCATGCACCAGTCAGACGCGGCAAGCCCCAGCCGGGGGACATCCCGCCTCACCCATAGTGGGGATGCCCTCCCAGGGCAGGAGACACCCTGCCCCTCCCTGGCCAGATGCACGCCCTGTACCTCGAGCCCAATCTCCTTCTGCAACTGAGGGGTGGGCTGATTACACCCTTGGCCCTTCTTCCTCTCAGCCCTTCAATGGCTCCCATACAAAATGGCCCAGACCCAGGGGCTGAGGACATAACTGCACCAGGGCCCTCCTGAGCCCATTCCGGCAAGTTCCATCTGTGAAGTCCTCCAGGCCAGGCTCCCTCTGGGCCCCACAGTGCAGGCCCAGCACTACCCAGAGCCCACAGAACACAGTGGACAAAACCCAGCTGCACCAGAGCCCCCTTACATGAGGCCAGGGAAGGGCTCGCAAAAGCCCCACCTGCAGCAAGCGGACACCCAGCCGGACCCCTCCCTGCCCCCCGGCCTCACCTGGTAGTAGGCCTTGACGCTGCGCACCAGGACGGTGAGGTTCTGCACGCGGAGGCTCGCGTCACTGCTCACGTGTTTGTTGATGTGTGCGTTTGTCGGTCGGGGGTCTCTGGGGAAGAAATACTGAATGGAAACCGGACCTCGGGCCACACTTCCTGTCCCAGCGGCGCCTGAGCTCTGGTCCCGCGTGACCATGAGGCCATGACACTTAAGTAAAGTCCTAACTGCACAGCCACGCCGGGACTTCAGGTGGGCCACAGCCCCCACTTCCCCCACCTGAGCCCAGGGGTCACCCCAGGGCCTTAACTCATGCGGCTTCCATTCTCACTGGAACACCCACGGAGGACAACCCCATGTCGATGCAAACCCAAAAAGTTATACTGCGCAAAAGTCAATGCAGGCTGGGTTGGTGGCTTGTACCTACAATCCCAGCACTTTGGGAGGCTGAGATGAGAGGATGGATCACTTGAGCAGAGGAGTTCAAGACCAGTCTGGGCAACATAGTGAGACCTCATTTCCACAAAAAAATCAAAAAATAAGGTGTGTTTCTGTAGTCCCAGCTACTTATGAGGCTGAGGTGGGAGGATCACCTGAATTCAGGAGGTTGAGGCTGTGGTGGGCTATGATGGCACCACTGTACTCCAGCTTGGGCAACAGAGCAAGATCCTGTCTCAAATAAACAAACAAACAAAAAATAGCCTAACCAAAAATCATTTCAACTTTAAAAGCTGACCAAGGCACAATATGTGAAACACCTATAAAGACAGAACAAGGGGAAATGGCACACTTTCTGACTTAATAAACCCACAAAATCGTAACAATCCACTTCACACGGGCCCCCATCACTGGGCTGGTCTTGGGCTGATAGCCCACTGAGTGTTCCATGAGCTCTGGGTGGTGCTGGGCCTCCTGCCTGTGACTGATAGCCCTGAACCCAGTCCCACCTTGGAAAGCTGGCACAGGTGGCCCAGGACACCACCCAGTGTAAATGTGCCCCGAGAAACACTGAAATGCAAATAAGTTATGAGGAAGATCCGAGGGCAACTTGTTCCCCAGTCTCAGGCCAAAGGCAAGTCTGGCTGTGAGGAACTGGAAGGCCGCAGGGAGTAACTTACAGTTCCACTCATCTATAGTCATCTATTGCTCAGAATCCTCAGTGTCGGAAAATGGTTCCCACTAGAGAGCAGTCTTGCAGAGGCCAAGTTGGCCTCCACTGGCCTCACAGAGGCTGAGCTGGCCTTCACCCTTCCACACGCCAAACACTGCTTCTGATAACAAAGGCCTCCCTTCTACCCAACTGTCCCAAGACACCATGATGTATAATTCAACAGAGGGTGGCTGCACCTGCCATCCAAGCCCTGTGATGCCAGCGCTGAGCATCCTGGGACCAGCATGGGGAGTTAAAGAAATCAATCTCAACATCATTCAGCTTGTTCAAAGCCAACAATTAATGGAACACTGATAGCCAGAAAAAAAGCTGAGGCCGGGTGCAGTGACTCATGACTTTCATCCCAGCACTTTGGAAGGCTAAGAGGGGAGGACTGCTAGAGTCCAGGAGCTCCAGACCAGCCTGGGCAATGTAGAGAGATCTTGACTCTACAAAAAAAATTTAAAAAAACTTAGGTGGGCACCTGTAGTCCCAACTACTCAGGAAACTAAAGCAGGAGAATTGCCTGAGCCCAGGAGGTTGAGCCTGCGGTGAGCAGTGATCGTGCCACTGCACTCCAGTCTGGGCAACAAGGTAAGACCCTGACTGAAAAACAAAAGCAAAACTCTACAAACCAAAATCATTTTAAATGTGTCTGGAAGTGTGTTTTTTTTTGGTAACACAACTGGTTAAAGTTCACCCGTTAAGTGTCTGACATGCACACCACAAGGCCTCCACAGTGTCACACGTGTGCAGACCCTGTACCTACAACATCAGTCAGCAGCCACGGATTTGATGTAGTCACCCAGTACCCCTAAAGCAGTTGGAGCACCTCAGGGCCACCAAAGCCCTCTATCCAACACTCAGGCAACAACATACACTACTGTCCTAATAGCAAGATAGAGCGTAGCCAGCCATGTGTTGCTGCCTGTCTTTCTGGGAGACCTTAATCACCAAGAGAAAAAGGTTAATGGCCTGTGGAGGTTAGCTGAGGAAGGGAGACGTCTAGAGGTTAACTGCTGAGGTGTTAGCTTCCAGGGGTTCCCGGCATCACCAAGTGACTCATCTTGAAGGAACAATTCTCCCTTTGCTGCAGAACCTGAAGAGAATCAATCTTGTAGTGACAGGTGTGCCTTTTTTCTTTTCTTCCCCTCGAATCAGGTCTTACTGCCACCCAGGCTGGAGTGCAGTGGCACAATCATGGCCTACCAAAGCCTTGACCTTCTAGGCTCAGGCGATCCTCCTGCCTCAGCCTCCCAAAATGCTGAGATTATAGGCATGAGCCATTGCGTCCAGCCATAAACATGTTTCTTAAAACAGCGTACTCAGAGAACACACGGGGTTGTTTCTGCTTCTTGCTAGTAGAGTCCCAGTCTCCATCCAGTCAGACGGGGCCAGCCCAGGAGGGCCAGGAGCCAAGCATGGGACACCAAGCGTACATGCACAGCTCGTGCAAAGGCCCAAGGATGGGCACCTGGGAACACTTACCCCATAGCCCAGAAGTCTCTGCACTCCACTGCTGTCCCCCAGTTCTGGGGAGGAAACTGTCAGTGAAACGAAGCTCTGAAAGAACCCTGACACTTCCGGGCTGAGTAATGAGACTCACTGTTGTGACCACCAGGGCTTCCTCCTTCAGCTAAGGTTTCCTGGGTGAAGTCACAACAGACACCTCCCCAGGCAGGTACAGCTCAGAGCTGCTGGGCCCCATGCCCCAGGACTCTGCCCCTCTGTGCTGCAGGAGGCAGGAGCCGGCAGATGTGGGTTCCAGGTCCCAGGAATGGCCAAGTTCTCTGGGCCTTGGTGTACTCATCTGCCAAGAGGCTGCAGGACCTTCCTTTGAGCCCACAAGGGCTGCCATTCCATGAAGCCCAGATCTATGTCTGGAACGCAGACTGTACTCGGTCTCACATCACAGGAAGACAAGACTGTAACTACCATGCAGCTGCAACTCCCCAAGAGCCACGGTCAGAGCACCCACAAGACAGCCCTAAAGCACAAAACCTCACCGGCAACAGGACCACAGAGGAAGGACCCATGGCGTGTCCGGTAGCGGGTCCAACCATGGGGGCCATCTAAGTCCAAAGTGCTCCCCCACAGGGGTTTCCTTCTCATAAAATGTCTAACTAGGAAAAAGGAGTCAACTCTTGCTAGAACTTTACAGAGAGTTATAATCCAGGTTTAAAGCAACCTGCACCCCTCCTCTGGAAGAGGAAGTTCCCAAATTTTAGTCACATTCCAAAGACTTCCTAAACCTGAAGCTTAATCAAGAAACTGTGTTGACACAGACAGAAGAGATGTGCAGGCTCAGAGTGGAGGCGCATGCCTGTAATCCCAGCACTTTGGGAGACTGAGGAGGGAGGATCACCTGAGCCCAGGAGGTTGAGGCTGCAGTGAGTCATGATCGCGCCACTGCCCTCCAGCCGGGTCAACAGAATGAGATCCTGACTCAAAAAACAAACAAAAAGGATTGCTACTTTGACATGGCAAAATTATAAGCAACTTTTATTTTGCTCATCTATAAGGTCTGATTCTCCTACAATGAATATAAGCTTTTAGTGTGATCTTTAAGGACTCAAACCCCCACGAAGAAAAATGTATGCCGTAGCCAAGTAAGGAAGTTACTTAAGTCACAAATACAAGTCATTTTTTCCCAAAGCGTTTGCACCAACACAAACTCATTCAACCAACAGGCATTTGCCCTTTACCCTCAGCCTCCACACCCAAAAAATGGAAACATAAACTACTCTTCAAGTACACTGAGGAGAAAAGTATCCTATTTCTTTTTTCATTTTTGAATAAGGGTCTCACTCTGTTGCCCAGGCATGATCACAGCTTACCACAGCCTCAACTTCCTGGGCTCAAGCTATTCTCTCATCTCAGCCTCCTGAGTAGCTAGGACTACAGGTGTGCACCACCACATCCAGTTAATTTTTTTATTTTTTGTAGAAATAGGGTCTCACTATGTTGCCTAGGCTGGTCTTGAATTCCTGGCTGCAAATGATCTTCCCGCTGTGGCCTCCCAAAGTGCTAGGATTACAGGCGTGAGCCACCGCATCTGGCCTTGTTGGGCATCTTCCATATGCATAATTTAATCCTTCTCAAATCTATAAAACATCCTCTCCTCATTACAGACCAGGAAATCGAAGCTTCGCACATCTACATAACATGTCCAACATAACAGAGCCTGCAGGTGAAGATGTGAACTTGCCTGCCTGATGCCGGGGTCAAGGCTCTTAAATAACTCCTATAGGAGCAGAAAGTCTGTCCAAAATTACCCAAAGAAACACGTTTTCCTCGGTGCCCGGGGCCAGCACCGCAGTGTTCAGAGGCAAGCAGCAGGATATCTCCACCAAGTTTGATGCTGCTGGTCCCCACGGCCTCCTAGCCGTGGGCCTCCCCTGAAAACCGAGTCCAGGCTTCCCTGCCTCCTGCTGCTGATGTGAGTGAAGGCCGAGTCCAAGAGCCTGCTCCTCCTGTGACTACAGTTGCCAGAGACAACGGTGGGGGGGGGGGTCACAAGGCCCAGCCAGCCTCCACGCAGCCCCAAGGTGTTGGGTGACAAGCCTCTCCACTGGGCTGGGCAGGCCAGGGCACGATCCCTCAGGACCTGCTAACCTGGGGAACGGTCACAGCAGGCACAAGGGTTAGGCAGAACCCATCGGTTGGCCCAACAGCACCCACGAGGCAGACATGCAAGCGGAGGCTGAGATGGCGGACAGCCTGGGCATGGGGCCGGGACTTGGGTGCCAGAGTCCGGCCCCGCCCGAGGCCGCACCAGCAGCGGCTGAGCTGAGGACCACGTAGTCATTGAGGTACTGAGAATGTGGGGGAAGGGCAGGCGGGAAAGAAACCACCTTGGGGTGCTGGGACCCTCTGGATAGGCTGGCGCCTGCATGAGTGAGCCACGATCCCAACCCCACAGGCCCCAAGCTGAGCACTGACACTGCATTAAAGCCTCACAACATTGTATCAGGAAGAGATTCTATATGCCAATTTAAAGATAGGAAAACAGAGGCACTGGGTGATGTGCCCGGTGTCACGCCCCAAGTATGAGGGACATCTGGGGTTCAGACCCAAGCTGGCTACATAGGCCATCCAATGCCGGGCCCAGGCTTCTTGTATTATTTATTTATTTATTTCTATTATTCTTTTTTTTAGAGACAGGGTCTCATTCTGTCATCCAGACTGGAGGGCAGTGGTATGATCACGGCTCACTGCAGCCTCAACCTCCCAGGCTCAGGTGATCCTCCTGCCTCAGTCTCCCAAGTAGCTTGGACGACAAGTACTTGCTACTATGCCCAGGTAATTTTTTGTAGAGATGGGGTCTTGCTATAGTCCAGGCTGGTCTCAAACACCTGGGCTCAAGCAATCCTCCTAATTCAGTCTCCCAAGTAGCTGGGACTACAGGTGCACACTACCATGCCTAGCTAATTTTTTTTTATTTTGTGTAGAGACAAGGTCTCACTATGTTTCCCAGGCTGGTCTCAAACTCCTGGCCTCAAGCAGTCCTCCCACCTTGGCCTCCCAAAGTGCTGGGATGACAGGCATGAGCCACTGCACTGCCCAATCTATTTCCTTTCTAGTTGAGGCAATTTTACATAGAGTGAAATGCTTGTATCTTAAGCTACAGCTTGAGGAGTTTTGGAAAACGAAGCGCGCTCCAGTCAACAGCAGAACACCTCATCCTTCTCAACTTCCTTCCCAGCAAGCCCCGCCCACCTCTAGACCCCCCCTGCGCTGCTGCTTCCCAGCACCTGGAGCCAGGGTCCTCGGATCACCCAGGCATAGACCACAATGCTGGCGTCCGTGCCCGCCCGTCCCTGCCACTCCTGCTCTGGAAAGCCACAGCCTGTGCCCTGCCCAGTCTGAGGGCCCCAAAAGCAACACTGCATCTCCAGTGCAGAACGGTTGCCTTGGGGGATCACGGAGGAGGCTCCACACTGCTTCCCCAATCCAGCCAGGCCAGGCGCACACTAGGAGTGGCTACTTCTCAGAGGCCTGCCTCCGACTCACAGCAAGCTGTAAACGCTGCAGGAATTCCAAAGGTCAGGGAAGAAAGAGGACCAGCCTGGGCTTTTGTCTCTCCTGGGTCGGGCGTGAAGCGAATGAAAAGCCTGGGACACTGCTGGCTTTTTAATTAAACAGGCCTGGGCCAGAGAGGACAGGCAGAAGTCTCCCCGGTCACAGCACCAAGGGAATCCCACAGTTTTTATGGTCTAAGAGAAGGGGGGGAGTTTCCCGGGGCTCAGCCGTGCCCAGCCGGGAAACACGGGTTCATTCACGCTCCAAGCAGCGTGCCAACAAACAATGGATTTGTTTTCTTGATACCTCATCAAACACAGAGGATGGAGAAGACTGGTAGGAAGCTTTTTCCCTACACAAACAGCCATGAATCGCCTTTCTTTTTTTAAACATTAAATAGCACGACATCAAATGACTTATTCAAACAAAATGAGAGTGGTCGAGCATGGTGGCTCATGTCTGTCATCCTAGCACTTTGGGAGGCCAAGGCAGAATTGGTTGAGCCCAGGAGTTTGAGACCAGCCCGGGCAACCTAGCAAGACATGGTCTTTGGAAATAATAATAAATAGTAAAAACAGAACAAGCAACATTCTTCGGTAGCATCTAAAACAGGCCTCCCTGGGCAGACCCTACTTAAGTCACTTTCTGGATGCCGGAAGCAAACAGCTTCCTTCCACTGTGGGCAGCTCCCATCAGCAGGAGTTCGTGTGCACCCAGGAGGCTCTGAGTGTTCCCTGCCCTCTGGGAGCTCAAGGTAGAGCGCAGCCACGGAGCCGTACCTCGGCAGCCCTCAATCAGGAGGCAGGCTCCCAGACCTCCAGAGGGGTCCTGCTGGGAAGGCAAGCTTCCACAAGACCCAGTGTACCCCGGCTCCCGACCGGCTGGCCCCCAACACGGCCACTTTCAACTCAGTCCGTGGCAGGGAGCTCAGAAAGGCAGGCCCCACCGCGGTGAAACTCTATAGCCACCCTCGGTGCAGGGCCGGCCCACCCCACACTTCCTGTAACCGGACACTCCGTCACAGTTCTGTGCCCCCAAAAAGAAGGGGGGCTCTTCCAACTCATTGTTAAAGCCACAATGAAGTACTGAGTCCGAAGTCAACTACACTATCTATACCATGTGGATGACAACCACTAAGCTCCAAATGCCCCTCATCTCGGAAGGGACTGCTCGCCCACCTACCCACGTGCAAAAGGCACCTGGCCACCGAGACGACAGCAGCGTCTCCACCCGCAGAGACCCCTCTCCTACCCCCCTGAACTTTCTGAAGCACCGCCCCACCCCAAGACAGGCACTTACATCTGCAACATGATTTGGTTCAGGAAGATGCCATCCACCAGGTCCATGTACATGGTCAGGTTGTCCTGGGCGCCGTCTGCAAACGGGCCGAAAGTTTTCACCTGCGGAAAGTGGGGAGAGAGGCAGGAAGTCACCTCGGGCGCAGGCGGCTGGGGGGGGCAGGGTCCGGGGGGCAGTCGGCCAACCCCGCCAGCAGAGGGGGCACAGGCCGCACCGCTTTCCCGCCCCAAGCCCAACCCGCCCCGAGCGACAGCTTCCCCGCCACTCTCACCCGCGTCCCGGCGCGGAAAAAAACAGGGGACTTTTCAATAAACGTCTCACGTCTCGACTGCTATGGAAGTCGGCGGGCCCGTCTAGACCGCTCGAGTCCCCGGTGAGCGCCCCACTCCCCACCGCCGTCTTCAGGCTGGTCTCGGCGCTCGGAAGCCGCACGAGGTGCTACTGCTGGGGAGCGGGGAAAGCCCCGGGACAGCCGCGGCCGCTGGGACCCCGCATGTCCAGCGCCCAAGCGGGAACAGGTGTAGCCGCCCGCGCGCGCGAGCCCGCCCGAGAGCGCACCCGGGGCCTGAGGGCCCCCAGACGCATCCCCCGAGCCCGGCCCGCCGCGGCGACCCCTCGTCCCGGGCCCCTGGCGCCCCAGCCCAGGGAGCGGAGCCGG